GAAATGTCTGCAAGAAAACAGCCAAGCTCAGAGAGCACCAAGGACCTCACGGTCCTCCTCCTCCTCGTCCTCCTCGCTGCAGACCCCATTCCCATGTACCACTGATGAAATGACCTAGTTCGGTAACGAAACGTCTGCCAGCTCAGAGAGCACCAAGAAGCCCACCCTTGACCGAGCGCGGTTGTTGGGTGTGTGGGTGGCACAGCCGCTGAGATGCTTTCTTGTCTCCTGCTTCCTTTTCAGTAACATGGATCGGCCAGAACTCTGCCAAATCACCTTATGCGACTTCCAGAAATTCTTACAATACGACCAAAAGGTATTTTCTGAAGGAAACGGCCTGGCTTTTGTAAAAACCAGCAGAGATCCTTAACAAAAAACCGAAGGCTAATGAAATAGCTGGTGTTTTCCTGTTGGGTACTTCTGCTTTTGTGATGTTTTGCTGGATGCCCACAATCCCTCTGGAACGATCTCCCCGTTGAGAACCGGACCCTTACCACCCTTCCGGCCTAAAACCTGGCTGTTCCAGCAGGCCTGGGGCTGAATTTTCCAGCCCCATCCGAGATTACGACTGTTCCTCTATTTTAAATTGTCTTTTTTATTTTTATTTTGTGCCCCCCTCCCTTGCAGATTGTTAGCCGCCCTGAGTCTCTCGGGAATAGGGCGGCATACAAATTAAATAAAACCTAAACCTAAAACCTAAATCCCTTGACAGTGAGATGGGTGGCATGTAAATTCAATAAATAAATAAATCAATAAATAATACTCCATTTCTGCACAGGTACGGACACAATTGAGCCCAAAACGTGTGTTGCTAAGTGAGATATTTATTACATGAGTTTTGCCCCAGTTTATGACCTTTCTTGCCACGGTTGTTAAGTGAATTGCTGCAGTTGTTAAGTTAGTTGTTAAGACGTTTGTTAAGGGAACCTGGCTTCCCCATGTGATTTTTGCTTGTCAGAAGGTTGCAAAGGGGAATCACGTAACCCCGCGACTGTCATAAATACAAATATTCCAATTTTGGTCACGTGACCATGGAAATACTACATTGGTCATAAGTGCGGTTGTAAGTGTAACTTCAACCGGTCACTAAATGGAACTCTTGTAAGTTGAGGATTGTTGTTCTGCATTGTTCTTCCCCTCTAGACAGAATCTTTTCAAGCTAAAGCAGACTATTTTCACCATTCAAAGACAGAGAGAGAGAGAGAAAGAAAGAGAGAAAGAAAGAAAGAAAGAAAGAAAGAAAGAAAGAAAGAAAGAAAGAAAGAAAGAAAGAAAGAAAGAAAGANCTCAATTTCAATAGCATTGAGACTCCTTCGTCCAACGTCTTCCAGTTGGATGAAGTGAACGTCCAGCTCCCCTCCTCAAAGCTTTTGGGGTGTCTTACTGGGCTCACAAGGCCTCTGAGATGTGTTAAACCGGCATGGCTGGCCAGAGAATTCTGGGAATTGTAATCCACACATCTTAAAGTTGCCAGAGGTGAGACAGTTAGAGCAGGAGTCCCCAAACTTGGCAACTTTAAGGCTTGCGGACTTCAACTCCCAGAGTTCCTCAGCCAGCAAAGCTGGCTGAGGAACTCTGGGAGTTGAAGTCCACAAGCCTTAAAGTTGCCAGGTTTGAAGACCTCTGCAGTAGAGTCACATCATTATTATATATCTATTTAAAAGCCGCCCCTCAAAAAGTGTTTCGTTTCTACCTGGAAGTCATATAAGCCAGAGCAAGTTTGGTGACCAAGGAACCAAAACTTTGGGGAACGACCATAAACACCTGTGGCTCAGGGTATCATCTGGAGATGGTCTTCTCCAACCTGGTGTCCAGCAGATGCCCAGCCAGACCTGCAGGGGATGCTAGCTGAGAATTCTGGGACATGTGGTCCCAACACACCCAGAAGATGCCAGAATAGGGACAAGCGATACGGAGGATGCAAACGCTTGATAAAGAACTGATAAAAGAGACTATTTGGAATTCAGAGTTGAGATCCTTGGTGATCTCTGGAGCTTGGTCACGCTAGCACTGATGATGTTACCTAGTTTGGTGTTGTGACTCAGCAGCAGTCTTCTGTGAGTCTTTTCGGGATGCAAGATTAATTACGTAGCTGGGGCTCGTTAGGGGCATATTCTGGGGATAAAAGGACGGATGGTGCCCCGCCCTAGTTGCAGGAGTCAACGTTCCTTGGTTCGTTCAACATTGGTTGATCATCAGTCGTGGTTTA